TACAAACATGTCTTAAGGACATAAAATCCTGGATGAGCTCCAATTTTCTGATGTTAAGCGAATTTAACCGATGTTAAAAACGAAATTCTTGTACTTGGCCCCAAAAACCTTAGAGACTCACTGTCTAAAGATATAGTTACTCTAGATGGCATTACCTTGGCCTCTAGCACCACTGTCAGGAATCTTGGAGTTGTCTTTGATCAGGATTGTCATTTAATTACCACATGACGTAGGACTGCCTTCTTTCATTTACGTAATATTACAAAAATTAGACACATCCTATCACAGACAGATGCAGAAAAACAAATCCATGCATTTGTTACTTCTAGGCTGGATTACTGCAACTCTTTATTATCAGGTTGCCCCAATAAGTCCATTAAAACACTCCAATTAATTCAAAACGCTGCAGCACGAGTACTGACATGAACTAGAAAAAGAGATCACATCTCTCCTGTACTAGCTTCTCTACACTGGCTCCGTGTAAAATTTAGAATAGAATTTAAAATCCTCCTCCTCACCTATAAAGCTCTTCATGGTCAGGCCCCTTCATATCTTAAAGAGCTCATAGTACCCTGTTACCCCACTAGAACACTACTTTCTCTGAATGCTGGGCTACTTGTGATTCCTATAGTCTCAAAAAGTAGAACAGGAGCCAGAGCCTTCAGTTACCAAGCTCCTCTCCTGTGGAACCAGCTTCCAGCTGTGGTTCGGGAGGCAGACCTCTTTGATAAAGCTTATAGTTAGGGCTGGATCAGGTGAGTCCTGAACCATCCCTTAGTTATGCTGCTATAGGCCTAGACTATCGGGGGATTTCCCATGATGCACTGAGCTCCTCTCTTCCGCTCTCTTTCTGCACTCATTCATGTGCCATTAATGTTACTAACTTCACTTCTTCCCCGGAGCTCTTGTGCTTTCTCGTCTCGCAGGTTCTCATGGATCCTGGTGGAGCCTCCTGCCATGGTCCTGCTTGACTACAATTGCCAATATCACTGATATTAGTGTGGCTACTTAAGTGTATGGGGATATGTGGCTCAATAGAGCTGTGACTCTCTGTCAGCCTGGTTACAGTGCTGAAGAGGAACCTGGGGTTGTTCTTATTTTCTTCTATTAGTGCTGAGTAATAGGCTCCTCTGGCATTACGGAGGGCCTTTCTATGGGTTTTAAGATTATCTTGCCAAATTGAGCGATACTCTGATAATTTTGAAGAGCGCCATTTCCTTTCAGATTTCCTAGCTTTTTGCTTTAATTGGCGGGTTTGGTGGTTGTACCACGGTGCTAGTTTCCTATATTTTATTAATTTCCTTTTTATAGGAGCGATAGAGTCTAATGTTCTTCGTAGTGAGCCTGCAGCAAGATTATCAATTTCGGAGGGACTAAAGCTATTATAGGACTCAGACATGGCATTGAATTAAACACTGAAGGAATCTCCTCCTTAAATTTAGCCACAGCACTGTCAGATAGACATCTGCTGTTGGAAGTTTTGCCTAATGGCTTATAATCTAATAGTATGAATTCAAAAGTTATTAAATAATGGTCAGATAGGAAAGGATTATGTGGGAAGACTATTACATTTTCAGTATCAATGCCATATGATAGAACAAGGTCAAGAGTTTAATTAAAACAATGAGTTGGTTTATTTACACTCTGACAGAAGCCAATTGAGTCTGTTAACGAGATAAATGCGTCATTTTCAACATCCACATGAATATTAAAATCACCTACAATAATTACTTTATCTGATTTAAGGACTAAACTTGATAAAAACTCTGAGAATTCAGATATAAAATCAGAGTACGGTCCAGGAGCCCGGTACACTATAACAAATAGAACTGGCTGCAGTGTTTTCCAGTTTGGGTGAGAAAGACTAAGATCAAGACTTTCAAATGAATTAGAATTTAGTTTAGGTTTAGGGTCCATTAAAACACTCAAATCATATATGGCTGCTACTCCACCTCCTCGGCCAGTGCCTCGAGGAATGTGAGTATTAATATGACTGGGGGAGTGGATTCATTTAGGCTAACATACTCCTCGTGGGACAACCAGGTCTCAGTAAGACAAAGTAAATCAATATCATAATCTGATATTAATTCATTCACTAAAACAGCTTTAGAGGACAGAGACCTGATATTTAACAGTCTACATTTCATTCTCTTATTTTGTGCTACTGAGGAGTTGGTTTTAATTTTTATTAGGTTTTTATGTTTAACTCCTCTTGTTTGTATTTCTTTAAATAATTTAGGTGGTCGGGGGACACAGTCTCTATGGGGTTTTGGGTGGGTGACTGTTCTAAAGAAAGCGCAAATCTCCACATTTAAGAGTAGGCTTAAGACGTTCCTCTTTGATAAAGCTTATAGTTAGGGCTGGATCAGGTGAGTCCTGAACCATCCCTTAGTTATGCTGCTATAGGCCTAGACTATCGGGGGATTTCCCACTGAGCTCCTCTCTTCCTCTCTCTCTCTTTCTGCACTCATTCATGTGCCATTAATGTTACTAACTTCACTTCTTCCCCGGAGTTCTTGTGCTTTCTCGTCTCACAGGTTCTCATGAATCCTGGTGGAGCCTGCTGCAATGGTACTGCTTGACTGCCATTGCTAATATCACTAATATAATTGTTATTATTATTATTATTATTATTATTATTACAGTTACTATTATTACTATTGTCACTGCTTATTGTCCCCCATCGTTGTTGTCGTCGTCATCATCATCTTCTTCTTCATGTTCATCATCATCAGTCACTACTATTAGTGTAGTTGTTGCTACTGTTGTTGCCGTGCACCTGTCTGTCTGTCTGCCTGTCTCGGTCTCGCTCTCTCTCTCTCTCTCACCCCAACTGGTCGAGGCAGACAACCACCCACCTAGAACCGAAGGTTTCTGCCTCTTAAAAGGCAGTTTTTCCTTGCCCCCATCGCCAAGTGCTTGCTCATGGTGGTACTGTTGGGTCTCTGTAAATGTTATAAGGAGTTCGGTCTAGACCTGCTCTATTTGAAAAGTGTCCTGAGATAACTTCTGTTATGAATTGGCGCTATACAAATAAAATTGAATTGAATTGAATTATGTTTTATATTTACCTTCTTTTATTGGTCTTATCTCTATTATTATTTTTCTCCAATATATTTATAGCTTTACTCAATGATGCATTTAGTCTTTTAACTCTGTATTTCTATAAAGCACCTTTGCAGCATGATTTGTTCATATTATTAATATTATTAATGTTAATATTACAGACTGTAGTATAATATTAAGTGCCAGGGTCATTGCAGTATGACACTCTACAGTGAGACTGGACAGTAAACAGTACTGAGTGTCCAGTCAGAACGTTAGCTAACAAGCAGCACCCTAACCGCAAAGCCACACTGAATAAATATACTCCACTGCATGTGTGTGGGTGGGTACATGCACTGGACTTTGCACCAGAGCTTGCAGTAGACATGCAACAAAAGAACAAAAAGGACTAAATGTTCTGAAAAGTGAAGAAAAGTGACAACAACAAACAGCGACTATGGTAAGAGAAGGGGGCACAGAGAGAGGGCGAGATCAAAGAGAGAGAGATATAGACAGGGAGCTGTCACTGTGTGCGTTTTATGTGGATGCTTAAGGGGAAACAAGGTTAACTTTCCAACTTATATAAAGCTGTACTCAGCAGATTCAGACTCAGCTAACCTACATTACATCCTCATATCTCATGTTTATTCAGTTCTGACTAACAGATCTGTCAGGTGGATGTGTCCTGCTGCTGCTTCTGGAGCTCTGTTTATTCCCGAATGTCAGTGATGCTGATAAATAGAGCCTTGATCTGTTTGTCAGGAATGCCAATAATATTATTATATTACCTCCCACCAAAACATTAGTAAATTATGAACTTATTACTAGTACATAAACCACGCATAGAAAAATGCTTCAAATATGGATGGTGCTGCAAAGAAGCTACAAATTCTAAAACGAGGATGGTTCACACACATCTTCAACCCGGCAGCACAGAAGACAATAACTGTGGTCATTACACAACCACTACAGTTTTAAGGTGGGCACCCAAAACAAAGAAATATAGTCACAAGCTCCCCTTCTGTTTTTGAGTTATTGGGTTGAATAATGGCCTGAAAAGTGTTTTTGCAGAACAACATGATGTCACAGTGAAGCTGGCCTTTAACCTTTTGAATATAAAATGTCATCACTTCAATTCAATTCAATTTGATTATTTATCACCAAAAACATGATTTGTGAGGTCACAGAGACCTTTGTCTACCAAGTTCTAATCATTTCATCCTTGGGTCCGAGAAAATGTTTGTGCCAAATTTAAAGAACTTTCCTCAAGGCATTCTTGAAATATTGTGTTGACGAATGGGACGGACTTACTGTCAAAAGCACAAAGCATCTGTCGCCGCCACAAAGGCATATACAACTAAGTATACCACAATTCCAAAAATAAATAACAAAGTTCATATGTTGCTCATATCTGAAGTTGCTTCTTGCTATGCATCTTGAAGTTGCATATAGCTATGTATGTGTGTGTCAGCCACTATCAAACTGTTATTGATGCATGTTTACTCTAGCAGCTCTAGCCATGTCAGTCGTTTCCAAAACAACTCTACTTCATTGGAGTAGTCCATGATGTGACTGCAAAACAGTTCATGTTCGATCCACTGTTATATCCAAATATTGGGTTCCCAAATAAATACAAAGGGATGGTGGTGTATAGTTTAGGAGAAATTAACCAAATTATGACATGAATCAATATCAGGAGGATACATATCAGAAAACACATTGGCGGAGGTCCCACTTCAATGTTGCCTTCTTAACCTCTCCAAAAAAAACATCAACTCTCCACTCTGAAGAGACGAAGGCTGCAGGTCCCATGGGGCCCTTTAACAGTCATAAATAATATCATGTGACTTCATCATTAATCCAGTCAGCTTCTATCAATCAGTCAGAACACAAGGAGCGCTCAAGCTGTAGCAATGCTTCTGCACCCTCTGTCCCTCTACCAGGATGTTACTGACCTTAAAGGCAAACTTGCGGGTGATGTTATCAGAAGGCTCAACTCCTCCAATTTGGAAACTGAGCAGAGGCAAACTTCCTAACACCGTGTCCTCCTTATCATCTGTGAAGAGGAAGAAAGAAAGTGTGAAATACCATACATACCAGGAAGAATCAGAGAATCTGAATAACAATCCAGTGCTGTGTGAGGAAAATAACAACCTGAACCTGCAGAATAAAACCCAGCAAAACAGAAGAGGAGTGTTCAAACACTACAGTGGAACAAGAGCAGCGTTTCTCCCAGCACAGTCTCTGCTCCCACGGTGACAGCTTCCTAGAATAGATATCCATTATGGTCCGAGGGTCCCTGTGATCAGCAGGGTAATGGCTCACACAGTCACTCACTCACACACACACACCAGGATCCAGTGGTGATAAATAAATAATAATAAATTAATAATGGAAGGGGGCATGAACATTTCAGGAGTTTGAAAAGGGATACACTCCTCTCTCTCCTAGCTCTTACCTCTTATTTCCCGAACATGGCTCTGCACCGACACTGCGTCTGCCGCTGACTGAGTGTGTTTGTGTGCTGTGTGGGTGTGTATGTATGAGAGAGAGATTGAGAGAGAGCGAGAGAGAGAGAGAGAGAGAGACACAGACAGACAGACAGACAGACATAGAGAGAGAGAGAGATCTGAGGGAGGGGGAAGGGCTTGTGCAATCATACAATACACTGATCCCTGCTCTGTGTGTGTGTGTGTGTGTGTGTGTGTGTGTGTGTGTGTGTTTGCACGAGATAATAATCAGCCCATGTGACTCAGTGTTGCAGGAATCTCGGCCCACAGCCAACTGTACCTGCTGCTAGTCTGCCCCAATGAGACACACACACACACACACATACACATACACATACACATACACACACACACACACACACACACACACACACACACACACACACATATAATTTGACAGCAGGTAAATAAACACATTTCTGCCTCTCTCTTGCTCCCACACACATTTGAATGATTTATTTATGATATTTATAGATGGTGATGGTGACAGGAGGAAATGTAAAACACAGGATAAGACATTTAACACAGCAGTATATAAACAATACATGCTTTACAAACACACTATTTTGTAGCTGAAAACAGATGTGAAGACAATTTACAGTGTTTATTGATCAGTTGTCAACAACTCCATGAACTCTATGAACAGATAATAACGGCATTACAAAGGTGTGTCAATCAAAACAGCCCTGGTCTGGCTCATTATTATTTAATGTTCTCAACAAAGGGGATATGCCCCCTGCTGGAATTCAGTTCAGAAAACATGTTGGAAACTAAATCCAAACAGACAATTTGGTCAGTTACCATCATATATCAGTTGCACTGGATCAATAGAACTAGTGTGACACTTCAAACTTATGATACTGGGCTCAACACAGGGAAAGTCAAATGTTTCTCCCTTCCACCTCAACTTCTAATAATTAAGAGATTTTTGTATTATGAATTTTTGTCTTCAAATGTTGCAGTGACCTGACAACTAACAAAAACAACATAACTGATCTGCCTGTATAGCTGAAATACTGCATTCAAGTTCAACAATAGATATATTTGATGGTAAGATCAGTGTTTTAGAGGTGATACATAATAAAATCATAAAAGAGTCAAAACGACCAGGAAGGAAAGGAGTGAGAGAGAGAAACAAGTATAATATTAAGTATAACCGTGTCCCCAGACCTCATCACACAAAATATTCCATTTATCAAATGTAATGTGTGTGTGTAAGGTTCACAGTCTTTTTTTGTCAAATTCACAACAATTTCACATGGCAGCCATTGCTGGCAATGTGAGGCTTGAGCTTCAAGCATTACAAAAGTAATTATTAATTGTGGAGGTGAGTGTGGCAGGAGAGAGAGAGAGGTGTCGCTCATTGAGTAATCTCTCCTCTCTTAATGCAGAAGTGTGTTGGACCTGAGTGGGCTGCCACACACACATCAGAGAGGACGTCTGGAGCTGACTGACCAGGACTTCTGAAGAGGGCTATAAAAGCGTCCGATCAGCCAGAAAACTGAGTTTTGTGTGTGGTGTGTACAGCTGAGAGAGAATAAAGTTGAGTTAACTAACTAACCTGTGGTGCTGGATTGTGTGCTAAGGGAACCCACGGTAGTACTTGCTACACTGATTTACACTAAATAAATAAATAGGGGCGGACCGATGTGGGTTTCTTCCTGGCCAATGCAAATATTTTGAGAGCAAGGCTCCCAATGCCTGATATATAATGTTGATATCAAAACAAATAAAAATCATGTACAATTTAATTTTGTTCTATGGGAAATTTAGGCATATGTTTGCAGCAGGACGCATTGGAGTTACTGTATAGTACAGAGCTTGACACCAATTTTGTCACCAACTTTCCAAAACTCACATGCACTAACATCATTCCACAGCAGCCTTACTGACATCGCCTGATTCGGATTATCTCAAAATTTGGCCTGATTATCAATTAATCGGTCTGTCAGGACATAAAATGTATCTGGAGACATCTCAGCAACCGACCACTTACTAAAGATCTAGCAATGCCTTAGTCACTATAACTTAGAAAGTTTCAAAACATTAGCAATAATCAAATGACTACAGTTCAGATTTTAGTCTCATCAAAGTGAAGATTTTAACAAAAACATCAATATTGGTCCAAAACATCAATATATGTTTGTCCAAGCAACTACACATTACTACACAAACACAAGCTGTCCCATGGCGAAGTCAAAAACAGCCCTGTAAAACACAACCCATACAACAAAAGTCCTGTGCTTCTTCTCCTCCCCTTGTGCCCATTTTTTGGCCCTTAGACCTTGCTGGCATAGCAATCGCAGTGGTAAATTGCACTGTCACACATTCCTCCTTCCATCGCTCCCTCTCTCTAAGCCTTCTTTTCCAAAACACAGCTGGGTCAGGCAGAGACGGAGGGGAGGCTGGAACAAAACAACGTGTTCAGAATAAAGAGAGAAGCCTCTAGCACAGAAGTAATTACGTGAAAATAAGAAAGAAAAGAAACAAGAAGAAAAGAAAAGCATGGGCACTTTAAGACCATGTTTGTAATTTGAAGTCTACAACATTATTGCACCTTAAATTGGATTATTTCATTACTAGAGACAGTAAGACAAAAGGGGCAAAGTAGTGTGTATCAAATCAGCAGCAAAAAAAAAAAAAAGAAATAGAGCAGAAGTTAATCCAGAAGGGACTGTTTTGTTGGCTGTTCTACTCTTATCATAGCATGTAGCTTTATTGCTGCAATCCTGCACAAGATTATTGAAGGCTGCATCAGCTCTGAGGTCAGATAACGTATAACTGACACATAAGCCCCATATGCTGTCAGTACTTGACAGTTACTGTAGGATTAGCCATAACATTATGAGCACCTACAGGTGAAGTGAACAAGTCTGATTGTTCTCTTTATTGTGGCACCTGTCAGTGGGTGGGATGTGTTAGTACTCAAGTAGATGTGTTAGAAGCAGGAAAAAGATTTGAACGACTTTGACAAGGGCCAAATTGTGATGGCTAGACACCTGGGTCAAAGCATCTCCAAAACTGCAGCTCTTGTGGGGTGTTCTTGGTCTGCAGTGGTCAGTACCAAAAGTGGTCCAAGGAAAGAAAAGTGGTTAACCGGCAACATGGGTGGCCATGTGTCACGTGGAGGGCAAAGGCTGGCCCATGTAGTCCGATCCAACAGACGAGCTACTGTAGATCAAATTGTTGAAAATGTTCATGGTTGTTCTAATAGAAAGGTGTCAGAACATACAGTTCATCACAGTTTGTTGCGTATGGAGCTACATCATTATGACCACCATTATGACCACCAAGGTGCCCAGGTGGTCATAATGTTATGGCTAATCAGTGTACTATATGTATACATTCAATCATAACTAATAATACTCAAAACTCAATAATCAAACTCAAATCAAAGTAAATTAGAGCCCATCTTGCGATGGGATCATATCAGCCGCAACACCCATCAACATGTTGACGTTCTGTCCCACGAGTACCCAGTAGTCATTACTACATTATGACAGGAGTATTCATGTCATAATAGGAGCGGTAAAGAGTAGCAAAAGTGATTTCAGTGAAGGGGATTTAAAGATTTTAAATTATTTGGCATGAATTACCTTCTTCTTTCTTTAAAAGATAGGAAGGATTTGTTTCTGAAGATCTTAAACTATACATCTGGACAAATCATTCACACATCATTCACACACACACACACACACACACACACACACACACACACACACACACACACACACACACACACACACACTGAACTGTTTATCTGAATAGTGAACTTTCATGTTCACTATTCAGCTTAAGATTTACAACATTGTTAAAGCTGTGGTCATTTATATAAGAAGAGATTGCATCATAATACAAAGTTATTTACACAAATCGTACTATTATAGACTAGCAGTGATCTAAATAGCTGGGAAAAGTAGTCTTTTATAAATATTTTTACATCCACAACAGTTCTGAATGGTATCTATCAGTTCATTGCAGGAGTAGGTTAGCAACACTTAGACACATTATTTGAATGAAATGTCATTTTAAACTATACCATTCAATATATATCAGCAATACGAATGTAATATAGCAGTATTGCAGTGCCATGCGTGGTGTATAGCTGGCCTGGCCATGTAGAGTCAATTAGGCTTAACATTTGAAAAGTCAGCAGTCAGCAAGCCTTTCACCACCAGGTGAAATATTTGTAGTCTCAACAAAATCATAAAAGTCTTACTTAACATTACGTAAAACATTTTACTACAACGTGATGTGCTATCAGATTAACAAGTTACTAACATTTGTGTCACATCTCCTGTAACTTGAAAATCCACATATCTGGACTGGAGAACAGAATGAAGTACAAACCTTTGTAGTAGAACAGACATCTGTCAGTGAGGACAAACCACCTTTTGTTCCACTGCTTTACTCCACTGCTGGCCTGTAGGAACACACGTCACACACTCATATATAATCATAATCATAATCATCATCATCATTTTTGTCTCTATCATGATTATTGTTATCAACAAATCCCATACACAAGTACTTTCTGTGTAGCTACAGTCTGAAACAGCTTCTGCCTCCCAGCCACAGAACTCCATTACCATCTAAAAACTATATTAAACACATGAAAGTGCCTTATTGTTGCAGTAGGAGATATTCCTATGTTAATATTAACATGGCTAGTGTAGCAGGATAAATTCATTGTTGGTTTTGGTCTCTCCAGGGGATATCTTATTTAACCTTTAAATTGCCAAAACTGCTGGAAAGAGACAGGATGCAAATTTGGACTGATGTTAAAAGAATGAGAGAGGGTCGTTCACTAATCGGAAGGTTTCTGGTTTGATCCCCGGCTCCTCCCGCTGCATGTCGAAGTATCCTTTAGAAAGTTTCTGAACCCCAAATTGCTCCCTAACACATCCATGTGAATGTGCATGAATGAGTTAGTTTCTGTTCGATGGAGTTTGCCATCACTGTGTGAATGTGTAAGAAAGGGCGCCTGTGACATATAGTGTAAAAGCGATTTGAATGGTCGGAAGATTAAAAAGGCGCTATAAAAGTATGTCCATTTACCATTTACCCCACCTTCATACTTTTAGACTGACCCCTGTTTCCACCCAGGGGGTCAGTGTAGACACTGTAGAGGACTACAGGTACCTGAGAGTTGACAATAAACTGGACTGGGCTAAGAACACTCAAGCCCTCTACAGTAAGGGCCAAAGCCATCTCGATTTTCTAAGGAGGCTGAGGTCTTTCAACATTTTCCTGAAAATGCTGATGTTCTATGATCTGTGGTGGCCAGTGCTATCCTGTTTGTTGTTTCTGCTGTGGAAGCAGGCTGAGGGTAGCAGAACCTAACAGACTCAATAAACCCATCCACAAGGCTGGTGACGTGGGAGTGGAGCTAGACTCTTTGATGGCGGTGTCAGATAGGAGGATGCTGTCCAAGCTTCATCCATCTTGGACAATTTCTCCCACCCACTCCACAATGAAATGATCAAACACAGAAGTACTTTCAGTGCAAGACTCATTCCGCTGAGATGTACCACAGAGCGGTCATTCCTGCCGTGGCCATCAAACTCTTTATCTCCTCCATCATAGTGTCAAAAACTCTGAGTCATCATTAACTAAACGGGTGTTAAAAGTTGTTAAATGTGCAATTAGTTGTTTAAGGTGCAATACCGGGTCAATCCAATCCAATCCAACTTTATTTGTTAAGCACTTTAAAACAACCAAAGTTGACCAAAGTGCTGTACAGGAGAATAAATAAAACATCATAAATAAAAGACATAACAGCTCACATGAGGCGCAAAATAACATATAATACAACAATAAAATGAAAAGACATAAATAAAAACAATAACCATGCAATAACAAGCAATCAAAAAATAAAAATAACAAATACAAAAAATAAATCAAGTAAATAAAGTCGACATCTTACTAGGTGTCAAAGGCCACAGAGAAGAGATGGGTTTTAAGACTATTTTTAAAAACAGACAGAGAAGAGGCCTGTTTAATGTGCAGGGGCAGATCATTCCATAATTTAGGAGCAGACACAGCAAAGGCACGGTCCCCTCTGAGCTTCCGCTTAGTTTTAGGCACACTCAGGAGCAGCTGATCATCTGACCTGAGGGGGCGGACGGGTATATAGGGGTGTGGAAGCTCAGATAGGTAGGGCGGGGCAAGACCATTTAGGGATTTAAAAGCTAAATTGAATAGGCAGCCAGTGGAGTGAGGCTAAAATGGGGGAAATGTGCTCATGTTTACATGTGCCAGTTAAAAGACGTGCAGCAGCATTCTGTACCATCTGAAGACGGGCGATGGAGGACCCACTAACCCCCACATATAGTGCATTACAGTAATCCAGCCGAGTGGTAACAAAGGCGTGGATTACCGTCTCAAAGTGCTGCCTTGATAGAATTGGCTTTATTTTGGCCAGCTGCCTCAAATGGAAAAAGCTTGATTTGACAACAGCCTTGATCTGACTGTCAAACTTAAGCTCAGGGTCCACCTTAACCCCTAGGTTTGTGATGCTAGGTTTAATATACTGGGCCAAGGAACCCAGATCTACAGGGGGGATCCCTGTGGTGCCACCAAAAACCATCACTTCTGTCTTTTTATCATTGAAATTTAAAAAGTTCAGAGTCATCCAGGCCTTTATGTCGTCGAGGCACTTAAGTAGCAGTCTGACAGAGTATTCATTTTTCTTTTTAAGAGGCACATAAATCTGACTGTCGTCTGCATAACAGTGGAATGAAAAGCCGTGCTTCCTAAGTATGGAACCAAGTGGGAGCAAATAGAGAGAGAAAAGGAGAGGGCCAAGAACTGAGCCCTGTGGGACCCCACACGAGAGAGGAGCAGAGGAGGATACAGAGTCACCTAGGCTGACACAGAAAGTTCGATCAGCCAAGTACGACCTGAACCACTCCAGTGCAATACAATGTCCAATACACCAGATTATTCTGGTGTATTGTTATTCAGTCATTCTCTGTAATAATCTATAACTTCGGCAACACCACAATCTCATTACTATTACTATTTAATTTCTGTCGGTACATACTGTGGAATACATTTACATTTACTTTGTATATATTAGCATATATTGTGTATATATTTTATTGTTATAAGGGTACATAGGCTATGGTTACATTTCTATTTCCATTTTTATTTTTAAGTATATGTATATGCCTATACATACATTTCCATTTTATATATTGTGTTAGATATTGTAATATAAGTGTTATTTCTATTCTTTAACAATGTGTGAGTAGAACAACTGTAACAATATTATACATATATTTATTTCAGAACTGAATATTGGTATCGGATGTAATTGTTGCTGAGAGCCAAATGTTACGAGGATCCAACATAGGCACACTGTCAGACACAATCCCACGGACAGAGAACATACTGTAAAAATTATTTTATAGTAAAAGGCACTCCATAATATTATGTCTGATTCCTGATCCTCTTATGTAATTCCCAGTGCCAAAGTGTCTGTATTTGACGCCCTGGGAATCAGGATATAGTTAAAGTTGATGCATATATGACTATATGAATATATATGAATTTTTTTTATTGATACTACAGTAGGTGAGTTTGATGTAATTTTATTTGATATTGACTGTTTACATAAGCAATACAGTATTTCAGTTTTGGCCATTTGTACTAAAAAGGAATATATAAAGGAATATCTTATCTTATCTTATCTTACTCAGGAGTTCACTGTTGAGATTTTGCTTCAAATCCTTTTTTACAAAAAGTAAGCAGAAAAGTTACCACTGTTTTCTAACAGCTTTTGTAGTCTTGGCTTCTGTATTCCCCTTGTTACTTCAAGCAATTTATTAGTGCACTTCTGTAAAGTTCGGGGATTCACAAAAGATAGGTTAAAAAATAATGGTCAAAATCAAAGCAACAAAGGATGAGCTATCTTAAATTGTAGTCCCTAGTATGGGTCAAGCTTAAAAAACACTGGATCCTAGAAATTACCACAATGCAACTTGATAGAATCTTTTTCTGGACTGATGTAACATTTGAGAGTTCTTTAATCGTGAGAGTAGAGAGAAAGGTTTTCACCTGCTTGTACAGCCATCCCTGTTTGGTCACCTCTGCTTTGGGATTCCTGCGCATAGAATTTGAGCGCTTCCCAAACGTAGCTCCCTTTCTGGGAGTACGAGACGTCTGCAGGTCAGAAGAAATTTTGTAGAAGAAAAGGAAGCAGGTTTACATATTGGTATATAAGTATCAATTTAATTTTTTGTGGGATTTTCTGCAACAACTGCCAGGGATGGTTAATTGATGTGTGTCTATGAGTATGCTCACCCGGGTGTAAGGCTCGGCTTCGGGAGACAGGTGTGACACCATATTGGCAGTTTTGGAGTGAGTGATCTTCTCAGCAGCAGTATTCACCTTCCCATTCATATCCAAATCACAGTACCTGGACATAAGAGAAAAGGCTTGAGGTCAGTGTTCATCAGTCACTCTTATTGTCTATAGCCTGCCAGCAGATGTGATTGCCACCCCTTCACCAGAGTAAAGACCAATATTTACATTTACCTGACACTGACCTCTAGTGGTGGTCATTTGTGGTAATAATGATTACTGGGTGTCAGATGCAAAGGTAGAAGGATTGTGATTGCTGTTACAGTGTGTTATTTTGATGGCAGAGATTGTGGATGTCCCTATGCTAGATAAAACATGATAAACTGCCCTCTACGGTGGACCAATGTGCCCTCTAGGGTGCCCTTCCAGTGGAGAAAATGTGGTACAGTGCTACATAGTCTGGCCTACATCCTAGAAAAGGGTTTGAAACTTTTTCACCATAATTAGAACTGTTTTCTGACTTCCTGCACACTGTTGCTTTACTGCATGCAGCCGGTGCCCTTTGGATTTTCTAAATTTTTAGATAAGTTATGTTGTTTTTCAGTGTTAATTCCAGAGAATATATTTTGCTACTAGTTAAAGAATGCAGGTCTAAGAATATTGAATTTAGTTTATTGAACAGCTTTAGAGTTGCTGAGTTAAATAGAGAAAATAAGAATCTGAAAAGAAGTTTCTTAGCGTCGCACAGGTAGAGTGGCGATACTATAAATGATGTATGAATTTGTGTATATAAGGGTATGTATGTGTATATGTTTAGATGTTGCTATTAACTGTAATTTGTTTTTATCCGAGATTGAGTTTATCAAAATAAACAGGAAGTGAAAATATCTTTGATAAGTGTTACATGTGCTAACCAAAAAAGGTCTTAAAATTTCCCACATAATAAACATATGTAGTATTAGGAATGGATAACTTCATTAAATGTACTTTCATTAAAGTGTAACTACATCCTTTAGTTCTGCTAGCTTCCTATGGAGCCCGGACGGTGACTTTAAAATTTGGCATCCAAAAAAAAATAAAAATTGGCATTGAAAACAAAACCAGTACTGAAAAAGGAAACATTGGCACTGAAACATTTGTATTGAAAACAGTTGTATTGGCATTGAAACAAGTATTGGCACTGAAAAAAGAAACTAATTAAAATAATTAAAATCTTAAAATCTAATTATTTTATTTTGTTGGGATTTTTTGTATTTTTCAATTACAAGATTTTTTCTTCATGTCACTCTTTTTTCAGTGACAAATTTTTTTCACTGTCACAGATTTTCAGTTTCAACTTTCTATCACCGTTTTGGCGTTGAGAGGAGGGGTCTGATGGTAGGGGCAAGTAGAGCGTGGTTTGCATATAATTTGCATATCGGCATACTGAAGAAGTACGTCTCTTTTCCGGAACCCGCTGTCCGCTCTGAAGCCTATGGAGCCCCTAAAGGGACATGGGATAAATAAATAAAAAAATTTAACATTTCTCGTGCGCACAAGATACTTTCTGGTGCTCACAAGATACTTTCTGGTGCTCACAAGATACTTTCTGGTGCTCACAAGATACTTTCTTGTGCGCACGAGATACTTTTTCGTGAGCACGAGATACTTTCTGGTGCTCACGAGAAACCTTAGGTTAAGTACAGGCAGTTGCGCTTCCTGTGCGTAGGCCTCTAGGCTCATTAATTGCGGTCAAGCCAGCCGTTACTAGGGTGGCCATTCGTCCAGCTTTAGGCCGGACAGTCCGGCTTATAAATGCACTGTCAGGCTGCAGGCGCAGCCTTAAGCCGGACACTCATTTGTCCTCCTTTTGAGAAAACAACAAAAAAGGTCAGCCTTTTGACACATTAACTTGTTAGTTTAATACTTATTGGCTAAAAATGTGTGTCAAAAAAGCTGTGTCAAAATAAGTAATTTCATTGGTTACATTTTCGTGTCCTGACCTATAAACACATGGCTAATTTTAATATTCAAATGAGCCATGTGTTGATTGCCACAACAGCACTCAGTTGCTACCACCAGGCTGTCAATTAAGCTCTCAGAGACAGAGATCCTAACATTAGCTAACGTCAGTTGTTGGTTGTACAAATATGGACTTTTATTGTTGAATTTCTCCAAATTGGCGCAGTAAAAATGCTTGATATTGAGTGTGTGTGTGTAGTCTTAGATGTGTAGAAGTCAAATATACCAGCCATAGCCAGGAATTATTGAGCAATGTGTTTTTACAGTACCTCAAATATAAGAAAAGATGCCACTTGGGGGTACAAATATGGAACTTTTGTTTTGGCATTTCTCCACATTGGTGTAGTAAAAATGCTTGATATTAAGTATGTTTTTTATTCATCATGGTCGCATGAAACACTTTAATGTAAAATATTTTATTTTAAATGTAACATTTTATTTTAAATGTAGGTAGAATTATAGCTTACTGTTCTTAATACCTTTATTTTGAAAACCGGAAGTGAATACGCTGTTTGTTCAGTTAATGAGCCTAGAGGCCTACGCACAGGAAGCACAACTGCCTGTGCTTAACCTAAGGTTTCTCGTGAGCACTAGATACTTTCTGGTGCGCACGAGAAAGTATCTAGTGAGCACCAGAAAGTATTTTGTGCGCACGAGAAACGTTTCATTTATTTATTTATTTTCCCCATGTCCCTTTAGGGGCTCCGTAGCTTCAGAGCGGACGGCGGGGTCCGGAAAAGAGACGTACTTCTTCAGTATGCCGATATGCAAATTATATGCAAACCACGCTCTACTTGCCCCTACTATCAGACCCCTCCTCTCAACGCCAAAACAGTGACAGAAAGTTGAAACTGAAAATCTGTGACACTGAAAAAAAGCTGACGTAAAAAAATCTGTCACTGAAAAAAGAGTGACAAGAAGAAATAATCTGAAGATCGTCATTGAAAAATAAAAAAAAATCCCAGTAAAATAAAATAATACGATTTTAAGATTTTAATTATTTTAATTATTTTAATTAGTTTCTTTTTTCAGTGCCAATACTTGTTTCAATGCCAATACAACTGTTTTCAATACAAATGTTTAAATGCCAATGTTTCCTTTTTCAGTACTGGTTTTGTTTTCAATGCCAATTTTAAATTTTTTTTTGGATGCCAAATTTTAAAGTCACCGTCCTGGCTCATAGCTTCCTCCCTCTGAACAAATTTTAAAAATGCATCAGAGACCTGCAAAGGACAGTGACTTTAGTCGGCGTGGCCTCGACTCAGACATTGAGTGATTGAGTGACAGACAGGAGCGTAGCAGTAACACTGAGCTGTTGAAGAGCTTCTCTACTAAATTAGATAAGGGGAAAAAATGGTATTTTGATAGGTGAATAAATAAAATTAAACACGATAGTAAACAATTATGCAATATTTTAAACTACCTTTTGAAAGGGAATACTGAATCCACTCATTCTTACTTAGAAACTGGAGAGGGATTTAATACTAGACTTTAAGACATAGCAAATCATCTAAACAGGTATTTTATAAACAAGATAGATAAGTTACAATACCATTAATAGATCATATCATGCAAGGCAAAACATTTTTTTTTTGCTAAGATCAAGCAAGCTAGTGTTGTTATAGTTGAAAAAGCTCCAAAACTTTGGAATGGAGTGCCGCTGCACATTAGACAGGCCTCCTCTCTGTCTCATTTTAAAACTCTTCTTAAAACCCACCTCTTTTCTTCGGCCTTTGACACCATGTAGAGTGTTGATTTTATGTGTATACATGCATATTTTTATCTTGTGCGGGCAGTGCATTTTATTTATTTTATTTATTAAATTAATATAATATTTTATTGCTTTTATCTTTTACTGTGTACTTCATCTTTTTTATTGTGCTTCTATTGTGTTATCTATTTATTCTGTATATATTTTTTTGTGCAGCACTTTGGAAACCTTGTGTTTGTTAAAATCGTGCTATATGAATAAAGTGGATTGGATTCGATTGGATTGAATTAATGTTAATGACATCCAAAAATAAACCACCTGGGGTTGATAATCTTAATGGCAAATTGTTAAAGCCTATAGCTTTATTGATTGCTCCAATGCTCACACAGATTATTAATCAGTGCTTCAGTGAAAATGTATGCCCACAAGCATGGAAAATGCCCAAAGTGGTGCCAATACTCAAACATAAGAAGTTGACATTTTCAGAAGCCAATAGTCGACCTATAAGTTTATTACCAATTTTGAGTAAGAAAATGGAAAGAATTGTGTATGAACAGATCCAGCCTTACTTTTCCAATAATCTTTTAATCACTGATCAATAATCAACATGCATACACACACATTAATATGTATATATATATATATATATATATATATATATATATATATATATATATATATACACATACACACACACACATACATACATACATACATACATACATACATACACACACACACATATACATACACACATACATACATATATATACATTCATATATACATATATACACATATATATATACACATATATACATATACACACACACACACACACACATATATATATACAGTGGGTACGGAAAGTATTCAGACCCCTTTAAATTTTTCACTCTTTGTTTCATTGCAGCCATTTGCTAAAATCAAAAAAGTTCATTTTATTTCTCATTAATGTACACTCAGCACCCCATCTTGACAGAAAAAAACAGAAATGTAGAAATTTTTGCAAATTTATTAAAAAAGAAAAACTGAAATATCACATGGTCGTAAGTATTCAGACCCTTTGCTCAGTATTGAGTAGAAGCACCCTTTTGAGCTACTACACCCATGAGTCTTCTTGGGAATGATGCAACAAGTTTTTCACACCTGGATTTGGGGATCCTCTGCCATTCTTCCTTGCAGATCCTCTCCAGTTCTGTCAGGTTGGATGGTGAACGTTGGACAGCCATTTTCAGATCTCTCCAGAGATGCTCAATTGTGTTTAGGTCAGGGCTCTGGGCCAGTCAAGAATGGTCACAGAGTTGTTCCGAAGCCACTCCTTTGTTATTTTAGCTGTGTGCTTAGGGTTATTGTCTTGTTGGAAGGTGTACCTTCGGCCCAGTCTGAGGTCCTGAGCACTCTGGAAGAGGTTTTCTTCCAGGATATCTCTGTACTTGGCCGCATTCATCTTTCCTTCAATTGCAACCAGTCGTCCTGTCCCTGCAGCTGAAAAACATCCCCATAGCCTGATGCTGCCACCACCATGTTTCACTGTTGGGATTGTATTGGGCAGGTGATGAGCAGTGCCTGGTTTTCTCCACACATACCGCTTAGAATTAACGCCAAAAAGTTCAATCTTGGTCTCATCAGACCAGAGAATCTTATTTCTCATAGTCTGGGAGTCCTTCATGTGTTTATTGGCAAACTCTATGCGGGCTTTCATATGTCTTGCACTGAGGAGAGGCTTCCGTCGGGCCACTCTGCCATAAAGCCCCGACTGGTGCAGGGCTGCAGTGATAGTTGACTTTGTGGAACTTTCTCGCATCTCCCTACTGCATCTCTGGAGCTCAGCCACAGTGATCTTTGGGTTCTTCTTTACCTCTCTCACCAAGGCTTTTCTCCCACGATTGCTCAGTTTGGCTGGACGGCCAGGTCTAGGAAGAGTTCTGGTCGTCCCAAACTTCTTCCATTTAAGGATTATGGAGGCCACTGTGCTCTTAGGAACCTTGAGTGCTGCAGAAATTATTTTGTAACCTTGGCCAGATCTGTGCCTTGCCACAATTCTATCTCTGAGCTCCTTGGGCAGTTCCTTCGACCTCATGATTCTCATTTGCTCTGACATGCACTGTGAGCTGTAAGGTCTTATATAGACAGGTGTGTGCCTTTCCTAATCAAGTCCGATCAGTTTAATTAAACACAGCTAGACTCCAATGAAGGAGCAGGACCATCTCAAGGAGGATCAGAAGAAATGGACAGCATGTGAGTTAAATATGAGTGTCACAGCAAAGGGTCTGAATACTTATGACCATGTGATATTTCAGTATTTCTTTTTTAATAACTTTGCAAAAATTTCTACATTTCTGTTTTTTTCTGTCAAGATGGGGTGCTGAGTGTACATTAATGAGAAATAAAATGAACTTTTTTGATTTTAGCAAATGGCTGCAATGAAACAAAGAGTGAAAATTTTAAAGGGGTCTGAATACTTTCCATACCCACTGTATATATATATATAATATTCAACAGCCACTGCCTTGACTGAAAAGTTAATGACTGACTTTTGGAAACAGAAGAGAGAAAAATTATAGCAGTAGTAGTTTTGCGCTGCTTTTAAAATCATTGATCATGAGTTAATGTTAAACGCAAATTTTGTGGTTTTACTCAGTCTGTACTATTATGGATAAAAAACTATTTGTGCGGCAGAAAGCAAATTGTGTACTCTAATGGAAGTTATTCAGATGTCAAAGAAGTGAAAAATGGATAGCCTCAAGGAAGTTGTCTTGGGCCACTCCTATACATAATTTTACTAATGATCTTCCTTTAGTTTAAAAAGAAATCACATATTTAAATGTATCCTGATGACTCCACAATATACCTAGCAGAAACACCAATAAGTGATTTAAAGACAAATCTAGATCAGGTGTTAAAGTTAGTAGTAGACTGGATAAACAGTAATAAACTTGGTCAAAAACAACCAGTGTTGTTATTTTTAAAACCAAAGCTTAATCCCAGTATAGATAACATGTTAATAAAACAGGTGGAAAAAACCTAACTTTTATTAATTAATTAATTAAATATTATGAATAAAAACGCATACAGAAAGTACTGAGAAAAATTGTAAATATTTTAATTTTAAACAAACGGTTAAACAAGTAACTCAAGCCTTGGTTTTGTCTCACCTGCATTATCCCTCAAAACTTCATATCAGAAAATTACAGTTGGTTCAGAATAAAGCAGCACATGTAGCTTTTTTCTTGTGGGATGAGAACAAACATTTCTAGAATGCAAAAAAATTGATGAATGTGTTCACTGATGGTTTTCATAAGGAATGTCATAACAACAAAGATTCCATTTATATTTTACAAAGGACTATCCTTTAATACAGATATACACTCTTATTTTACAAGGCATGCTGCTGGAGGTTGTTTTACTTTACCAAGATCCATCCATCAGGTCAGCGTACAGTAATATACAGAGCAATGATAGAGTGGAATTCACTTTCCAATCATATTATATATATGGTTTTAATAAGTAATTAAAAATATTATTTGGTGTGAGAGGGTTTCATGGGCAATCTGGTGAAATGTTGTTAATTAGATCATGAAGATATTCTTTGTTAGTTTATGATACATTCAGTTGGAGCCGGTCTTTTTATTGTTTTTGTTCTTGTTTTTATTTTTGTGTTTGTCTATAGAGTGTGTCAATTGTTATTGTTTAATCTACAGTATATATTATGGTGGGAACTGTTGGGTCTCTGTAAATAATTTTATAAAGGAGTACAGTCTAGACCTGCTGTATCTGAAATGTGTCCTGACATAACTTTTGTTATGAATTGGCGCTATACAAATAAAATTCTAAATTGAATCCATGTGTTGTGTTAGTGTATTGTGATGAGTAATGTGAGTGTGTATATTTGTATAATATTTTCACCATGTAAACTGTGTGGACGCCAGGAAGAATAGCTGTGCAGAAGCACAAACAAAAAAACTATTACACTGCCTGTCACCACTGAACATGTTTTTTTTTTTTTTTTTTTTTCTTAATCTGACCTCATCTGCATTCTTCCCCATACTGGGTCAATTTTAAACCAGTGTTTTGTGTAGCAGTCCAAAGATAGAGCAACCATTTGAACAATAATATGATATCTTAGCCATTTCAGATGGCAATGTTATCCATTTTAGGGAGCACTGATAGATAAATAAGAGAATGGTAAAATAACTTTTAGGACATTTTACATTTTCTCTCATTTACCAACTGTTTTCCAGGTTTTCCGGAATGTGTAACACTGGATGTACTGACAACTATCATTGAATTAATTTGATACTGAAAAAAACCCTAGTGTGTTTCTTAGTGTTCCCATTCCTGTCGGAGTAAATACATACAGTAAGTGAGACTTTGAGCTGCAAATTCGCCTTTTTTCCTATTTTATATATGACTTTGTTGAAAAAACAAAAAATTACTTATGTTGATGCACAAGCTCATATTCATACATTAAATCAGGTACTGTCAGCACCCATGTGTATTTACTGCATGCAAGTTTATAAAGTGCAACACAAGTCAACAATTTTCTGGTCAAACAAATCAAATTGAATATCAAAAATCTATTTTAGTCCAGCTTTATTTTTTTATTTCCTATTTTTGACTAAGTATAAAATTAGAAAATAAGCCATTATTTGTTTTTTGTGTTGGATTCATAAATAAATAAGTAAATTCTATTGATTCTATATTGAATATGAAAAGAGAGAATGATACATGGGCGGCTGTGGCTCAGAGGCAGAGCCTTAATCGGAAGGTTGTGGGTTCGATCCCAGGCTCCTGGTGCCACATGTCGAAGTATCCTTGAGCAAGATACTGAACCCCGAATTGCTCCCGATGCCGTGCATCGGTGTGTGAATGTGTATGAATGTTAGTTTCTGTTCGATGGCCACATACAGGCCTGGCATACGTACTACAGCATTTTGGGTCGTTTCAGTGAATCCGTGTGGAGGCAGATATTTCTGGAAACGACGGCGTGTTTGCGAAAAAAAATTTCTAAACAACATCGTATTGGGTGAGGCCGCGTATTCGTGTGGACAGGCCCTTAGTCTGTTCTGACAGCCACTGCTTTAGTCCTGGCAAATAGATAACACCCCATTGTATTACACACCAAATGTAATGAATCAAAAGTTAGAATACATAAAATAAAGTTAGTAAATTAGACCAATAACATTACCCATGCACAGGACAGGAAAGTGAAATCTCAAACTAAAATAGGGACATATTGATGCCAGTTTACAGCTGGTACAGGTCTTAAATAGGTTCAACAGCAACAACAACCTCAGGGATCCCCATATAAATCTAGAGTACTGAGCAATGATGGGATTAATCCATGTGGTGCCTCTCATTTCCATTCACCTTCTTAACACTTCTGCAAATGACTGCACTTTCCTTCACCTTTCCTCTCATTTCCTCAGTGTCCTCTTTTTCACTCTGTGTGTAGTAATTAGAAAAGCCAGAGGTGCTTGAGGTTTCACTGCTGTCTTATTGCACCCATGGTAATTCATGTCACTGATGCCTAATCATTCAATGAAAGCACATTGTATAGATTGTCTTTTTGATAATGTTTGCATCAGCCATGTATGAGAGAAGTATTTCCCGGATATCTAGCGTCTAAAATGGTTTCTAGCAGCCTTTACAAGTCAGCTGATTGGCTGTCAGTGACTGCTTTTGTTCATGTAGCATTTTAAGCCGCACCTATGTAACTACACAAAATGAATCACCCAGTGGAAATGAATCATGCACTGCTCCTGAACTGGATGATTCAGTCTTTTTTTACACAATAATTTGGCTGACAAAAGAATTGCTGTTAAATTGTAGTATTGACCTAGATAGCCTTAAGAAAATAGGCTTAATAATGCATATTTACCTGTATGTATCTGAAACTTGGAGGCTGAAAACTAAGGATGTTAAGCAAAATTTTATTGTCTTGGGTTTATTGTTTAATTAATGTTCTGTCAGAAGTGGAACTCACTTGTGAATCCTGGTAGGTAATGATAATAAAACAGAGAGGGATACAAATCCTTCTGAACAAGACAAAGCTGAAAACAGATATAAGCAGTCCTGTATGAAGAGATATGCAGTACCATCAACAGCAAGTAACAGGCCTGTGTACAGTATTTACTGAATACTACTGCTGACCAGCTGACAGTTGACTTGTTACCATAGTGATTACCAATTTTCTTTCTTTCTTTCATTGTGTCTTTCTTTCTTTTTGTGCTAACAGATAGTGTTTTGTAGTGGCCAGATTTTTATGCTAGCAAATTTCAGCCTTTCTTTTGTTTTGTTTTTTTGCCATGTGAAGGTGTGAATAATATATACATATATTAATTCTGGTAAATTCTGTTTATAGCTTACTTACTGCAGATAGGAGTGTATTGGTGTAAGCTCTTCCAGCTGAATCAAGTTCACTACTGGTCCAGCTGGTCCACTGGGGTCATGTTGACTGGAAAACCGACAGATGAAGACAAATTAACGTAATCAAGAAGATGACATCACAGGATGTCAATCAAATCTCTTAATTGTTTAATTTGGGATTTTCAACAAGGATAAAGATAATTAGGGTTCATTAACTTGCTTTATATAGTAAAGAAACCTTGTTTGAATTAATATATTCCTCAATTCAGTGTGCAGGATTGAAATCATATAACCCACATTTTACCTTTCATAAAAAAAAAAGGTTAATTACAATTTCGATAATATTTCAATTAAGTCTGCAGCCTTAAATCAAATCAAATCAAATCAAATCAAATCAAATCAAAACATTATCATTCAAAAAGTCCATGCTGTCATTGCCTAATATTAAGACACAATCCTAGGGAAATGTGTGTTTGCATGTGTGTGCAGTCTATTTGTGTTAAATCAAATAATTATGTTCATATACAACTATTTTGCATTTACAAATGTGTTTTTAGGAGAAATAATGCCCCCCATACTATGTTATTTATCAATATAATGAAAAAACATTTCTGCACAGTTCACTGTTGCTTGCTCCTGGCAAGAAAAGCATTATTGTGATTCTGTTCAGACACCCCTAAAAACAGTGCCTTTTTGTTAAACATTGAAAAAAAAATCAATGATCTAAGACAAAGAACGTTTGTAGTAAATAAAGACAGGTTTGGTTACAGCTGGGACAGCCTGCAAATAATTAATTGAAATTTTTTAAAAATTTTAAAATAAATAATGCTTATATCCCGGGTATGCACCACATGCGTGTGTGTCTCTCTATGTGTGTTAGATACGGTTTGGCAGGGTGGTGCCTGACTGCTCAGGGATAACCTACAAACCTACATAGAAGCAGCTAAACAGTAAAAATCAGGCAGCAGGATCCAGGATGCACATACTATGTCTGCTGAAGGACAAACAGGACAGCTGCATGGCTCTGGACTGTCAGGAATGCACAAGTAACCCATTCAGCCAGCATATACAGCTAACCACAACTCTGCCAGATGTACAAACAAAGGAGCTCCAATTAGTTCCCTTCTAAGATTGATAAAACAGCAGCATCAGCTAGCCTGTGCTATGCAGATCACATCTCAGAGGAAGCTGGCATTCAAGGTTCACATCTGGTCTGGTTAATATTTCAGTAGGTGTTTTGCGATATACTGGTATTAAGAATAGCAGTGATATTTGAAAAATTAAATTTTAACTATTTATCATGTTAATTGGGCTACTGGGTCAACGAGAAGAATATTAGTTGGCTTTCTTTTCATTAGACGGATATTCACAGAAAAACAAAAACTGCGCCAGAAGTATCTGTTTTTGTAAGTTGGAAGTTATTTATTCTTTACTTTGAACAACAAGACTTTTGTGATGTTATGCTCTGTTGACAGCCATTCCCATAGTGAAATCTCTGGATCCAGTTGATTTGAACAATTTTGGATTAGCACTTTAAAAATCAAATCCAGTTAGACATCATTCAATGATGTTTCAGCAATAAGGCCAAAAAAAATAACAAAAATTATTTTAAAAAATTTAGCAAAGCTGTTGCAGTGACTGGCCACTTTTAACATTTAAGACTGAATAATATTTTATACATTCATCTCTTAATCACAATGCAATGATTAAGTCCCAAAACGAGAGAGAGAGGCAGCTTCCAGCAGCAATCCCTGGCCACGTTTATACAAAAATCTAAAAAAGACTGTGGTTACATGTTACAAGTGCTTGGCTGTGTCTGTGTGAACCTTTAATATTATAGAGACCACAATTACAAAATTGTAATTTCTCACCAAACTCTGTGAAACTTTAGCCACGTCAGTCAAAAAATCAAATGGAGCAAATGCCACCTGGTTCACCGAAACGTTGTCATGGTTGGTTGTTGTGTGTGTGTCGTGTTACATTCAGTCGTGCGTGTGTGTGTGTGTGTGTGTGTGTGTGTGTGTGTGTGTGTGTGTGTGTGTGTGTGTGAAAGAGAGTGTGAAAATGAACCGGGAGGAAAAATGAGTGAGACAGCAAAGAGGAAAAGACATGAGAAAAGCTGCAGAGCAGAAGAGGTAGCAGGACAAGAGGAAGGGAGTGAGACAGGAGTGAAAAACAGTGTTGATGAGAACCCAGGAGGAGAGGAGTGGAGTTTTACTGGAGAATGGAAGGAGAAAATAGGAAATAAGATGTGAAAACTTGAAAGCAGGTGTCTTCACCAAAGAGAGACGAGCGATGAAATAAAATTAGTGCTTTCTCGTCTCGCAGGTTCTCATGGATCCTTGTGGTGCCTCCTGCCATGGTCCTGCTTGACTCCAATTGCTAATATCACTGATATTATTGTTATTATTAGGGCCCGAGCACTGACAAGTGCAAGGATCTATTGAAATTGTTAGAATTCTCCGTTATTAGGGCCCAAGCACTGATAAGAGCAAGGACCTATTGTAATTGAAAGAATTATTTTCTTATCATCAATACTCAAACTAGCAAAATTTTCACTGCATGGTCTACGCGTGATATGCTGCTCCATAATCCAACACCCTGAAGTGTGTGGACTGCTTCTTGTAGCTTTAACACTAACCGTGCAAAGGCCCTATTGTATTTGAAGGAGTTATTATTATTTCCTAATTCTAAATCACATTTTTGGAGGCCAAAGCATGCTCCGAATCGCACATGGGCATGAAAAATGGCTTAACATCCCCACCTACTGGCAACAGAAAATGAAATATTTTATACTTCATGTACTTCTCCTGGCATGTTGACCAGATCCAGTTGAAATTTAGTCAGAGGACGCATAACACGTTGTTGATGATATGTGATTAATTTGCTGAATTTCCATTGAAGCGTGTGTCAGTGGCATGTCGTCTAATTTCAATGTACCGCCATTAGACAAGAAGCTGTTCTAACTTAAGTGTACATTGTTCAATTAGCACCAAACTTCACGTCTGATAACAGTCCCGTCGTGAACAAATCTATGTAATAATATTCAGTAATAGTGATAGCACCACCTAGTGGCAATTGGAAGTATAATTTTTATACTTTTATGTATTTCTCGTAGGAGACTGACCAGATCCAGCTGAAATTGGATCAGAAATGACGTACTATGTTGACAATGACATCTTATGAATCTTATGAATTTTTTTTGTTGTAGCAATGTGGCAAATATTTACCACAGTGGGATTGCAACTGAGGACGCCAAATTACAACAAAGCAAGTCACATTGAGTCACGTTGCAAGTCATAATGTTGCTTTAAACTATGCTGGAGTAGAGATGAATGAATGATTTGCAGACAAATCTGCTATATTTGAATCCATCCTATAATAATCTGGGCTGCTCGATCCCCAACATTGCCAAGAAATGTGGCCTTCAATACTCTGAATCTGTGACAAAGTTGGTGTTGTGTAACTTACTGCCGTAAAGCATTACACACTTGTCCCAACCTGGAGCCAAAAGTTACATTAGTAATGATGTGCCAAATTCCAAATTCCTACCCTAATATGTAACTTAAAAATAATAATAAGCAGCAGGAGTAAGCTATATATAATGATTTTAAAAATGTTAAAAAGCAAGCTAAATAAGTAAATAGATAAGTAAACCAACAATGCCGTAGGTTAAATTACATATATAGTATTGTAGTTAAGATGGACTCCAAAGCTTGGCTAAACAGATAGAAGAAATAACTACAGAAGCTATATAATATGAAAGGAAAAATGCACTATAGTAGTACACCAACCAGCTGATCGACAACTGAAGTGCAGTGAAGTCAAAAACATTTATCACCAATGACATACAGAAAAAATCTAAGCAACATCTTTGAATTCCTGGTTCTGATTAAGCACTGCACCACTGTACACCAGCCACACACACCGCCACACTGTCACATGGTTCACACACACACACACACACACACACACACACACACACACACACACACACACACACACACACACAAAACCAACACACTGTACTTCACAAACAAACATCAGCCATAAATACACAGCAGGGCTTATGGTTTCCTGCTGGCACTGCATTGCAGTCATCTCTGACCTCCAACCTCCCCTCCTCCTCCTCCCCACTTCTCCCTTGTCTTGTCGAGGTTAGCCAGACCCATGTGTAACTTCCTCCTTTATCCCTCCACCTACCTGACTCTCCTGTCCACACGGAACTTCAACATTATCCCCTAGATCAGTCATGTACCAGCAGCGCAAGAGATGGGATGGACGGACAGATAGATGGAGGAGAGATAGAGAGATGAGCTGAGAAGTGGAGAGCAGCTGGACAGATGGATGAGAGGAGGGAGATGCACACCGCTGTCCTCTTCTCTCTCCTTCAGACTGCATGCTCTCTCTCTGCTTGTTTCCCCACCTGTCTTACACCCCTAACCCCCACCCCACCCCCTTCCAGGCTGGGAATTGCAACACTCAGCTTATTCAGTCCCCTCTGTCTGGTTGATAAACAGTCTATCTCTATCATGGTGTCTCTTTATCTTTTTCTCATGGGCTGTCTACCTCTCTCTCTCCATCTACTCATTTCAGTTCAAGTAGCTTTATTGGCATGACAGTGTGCAATACAATGTTGCCAAATTAACATAAACTACACATTTGTAATACATATAAATCACTGGTTCTCAAACTATGATACGTATACCACAGGTGGTACATAAGGAATCCATTTTTTTTTTTTTTTGATTAAATTATTTTTCTTTTTTTAAAATACAAACTTTAAAAAAAAAATACATTAAAAAAAGTAATGTGGTGGTTTTTTTACTGTATTTATTAATTAATATTATTCTATGAGCTTCTGGGCTAAGAGGTAGAGCGGGTTGTCCACTAATCGTGAGTTTGTTGGTTTGATCCCCAGTGTGTAAAAGTAGTTTAAAAGGTTGGGAACCCCTATGTGATAAGGCTCAACCAGTCTGATCAATAGATGTTGGCCCGACACACTGCTGACCATGCCTCCATCTCCACGCCAACCAGCCAACCAATTACAGACCAGCAGTACACAGCAAAGGCAGTCCTGGGGAATGT